GCAAAGTATCTTGACATTAGCAAAATGTACACAAATTTTCCACTACTGAATAACACACATGATCTGTAGTCTTACTGTCAATGGAGGCCCTCTTCACAATTGAAACCCCCTGAGCCTTGTCTTTTCCAGCTACATTTTTATCAGTATTCTGGTCTTCTAATCTCTAATCAGAATCTCCCATCAAGTTCAGTTTACAGAATTCCAGGGCTTCTTACTTACCCAGCATCTCCAAACTTTCCCAAACACTTCATACAAGCCAGTTCCAAAGGCTACTGAACCACATGGTCGGGTAATGAGACAGCAATGAGCCCACTTCTCTGATACCAAAATCTGTCTCATTTACTTTTTCATTACTGGAACAAAATACTCAGTACTCACAAGTTAAAGGAGGAAATACTTATCAACTCATAGTTTATAGAATTTTCTGTCATAGTTGGCTGGCTTCAAGGCAGGTTGGTATGGCAGTGCTGCATAGTAGAGGAGAAATAGTTCATGGTATAGCAGGCAGGTGGCAGCAAAGCAGCACCAGCATCATCACAAATAAGCCTCCCTTTATATCATATCCAGACTACAAGTTTATTGGTTGATGTCATCCATGCCTATGGTGAGACTTTCCATCATCCACACCTGGAACTATGCTACACATACTTATTCCATTTGACACATCCAAGATCTAGCCACCTCCCAAAAGCCCAAACTATAAGCTCATGAGGCTTTTGCATATAAACCATAAAATCAAAGGATCCTATTGGGTGGTAGAGGGATATTTATAGAATTAGCAAAAGATAACAGGAAAAAGTGACAAAAATTAGATGATAAAATAAGGGAGAGAAAAGAAATTATATTCAGAAAGAAAAATAAAAGTTAAAAAAGACAAAAAAATTTAAAAAGAGGAGACTAAAACAAAACAAACAAAAAAACATGGGGAAAGGGGTAGAAAAATAAGTAGCAAAAAGGAGGAAAAGAGGGGTTAAGGGGAGGAGAGGGTAATGGGAAGGAAAAAAGACAGATCAAGTTATATTATGTACAGGCACAAAATCCCTATGATGAATGTGATCATTGCATGTACTTAAATAAACTTAATAAGTTTATTGTTGTACCAATAAACTTATTAAATTAAAAAATAAGCAGTAAGAAAAAAAGACATTAAAATTTCCCAAACCTCAATAAACTACTGAAGAAAACAAAAGAAAAAAACACAAACTCATAAAAAGAAAGAACAAAAAGAAAGGAGCTCAAACTCTTCAGGGGTCTCTTTCTAGCCTTGTTCCTGAGGACAGGTGTGCCCAGAGGCTGTCTCTCATGCAGTTACTCTGGGAACATAACACTGTGAGCCCTGCAGTGGAGCCGTGTCTCTACTCTGGGTTCCAGGTTCACACCACCAACCCTTTCCCAGAATAGTATATGTCCAAGTGCTCTCTCCAGGGATATGGCAGATACTTGTACTAAGTCATTAACCAACTGTTGCTTGTAGAAGGACTCAGTGGGATAAGACTCCTCTACTCTCCCTATATATCACAGAAACTGTTGATCAAGTCTGTTGCACCACATTTTTTCCCTGAGGCACCCTGGGGTCCCCAGTATTCATTTTGTCTCTGGAGGCTGAAAGCCACTGTGAGTTGCAGGCAACCATAAGCCAGGAACCACCACAAGCTGGGAGCTACTGCAAGCCACAGAGAAAATGCAGGTGGTCTCTTCCTTTCTCTACATTGTGTTCTGTTTCAATTTTTTCCTGTCAGATCCTTCTGGTTCTCAGGGATCTACTTCTCTCTTTTGTTGTGCTCCACATTGTTGCTTTCTAGAGTCAAAATTCCAAATCTTGGAGAGGTTGCGTTGTTACAGTTCATGACTGCATTTGCTCCCACAATGTCTGATTTATGTTACCTAATATTATGGTCTTGAGGTGCATCCATGTCATGACTGAAATTTATCCTTCTTTATGGTAGAGAAGTACTTCACTGTGCATGCGTACTTTTTTTCCATCCGTTGATCTGTGGTTGGACATATAGGCTGCTTCAAAGAGTTAGCAAATAAAGAGTTTTGCTGCTATTAACATAGCTTTGCATGTATTGTGGTAATATGAGGATTTTGACAATTGTGGGAAGATAACTAGAAGAAGAATAGCTGGGTTAAATGTAAAGTCTAGTTTTAGTTTGGTGAGGAATTGCCACACTGATTTCCATAGTGGTCCTACTTTCCCACGAATAATGTAGAAGGATTTTTCCCCCCAGAATCACAACAGCATTTGTTATTAACTCATTACTTGATAATAGACATTCATTCTGAAATCAGACAAATGTTTAATGTTGCTTTAATTTGCATTTCTCTAACGGCCAGAGATATTGAACATTTTCCCACATATTCTTGATAATTTCTACTTCTGCTTAGAAGTATCTACTCATTTTAATTGTCCATTTTTTATTGGGTCTTTTATTTTAGGAAGTCAAGGGTTTTTTTCAGTTTTTATATATTCTACATATTAACCCACTGCTGGTGCAGCAGGCAAAAAAATTTTTTTTAGGTTGTCTCTTTACACTGTTCATTGTTTCATTTGCTGTGGAGCTTTTTAATTTGATATAGCAGTTGTTGATTCTGGATGTTATATCTTGGGCAACTAGGGTTCTATTCAACTCTTTGTATGCATATATGTTCAAAGGTTTAACCTATTTATCTCTCAAGAGTGTTTTAACATTTAGATTTTTGATCCATTTTGTTTGTAGTACATGGTGAGTGATATGGATCTAGAGTCAACCTTCTGCACGTAGATAGCCAGTTTTCCTAATACATTTTAAATTGTTTTTATTTTCTTGGGACAGGGTCTCACTATTTAGTTCAGCCTGGCGTTGAATTCATTATGTAGCCCAGGCTGGCCTCAGACTCACTGTGATTCTCCTGCCTCAGCCTCCTGAGTGCTGAGATTACAGGTGTGTGCCACCACACCCAGCTGCAGTACCATTTGTTAAAGATACTGTCCTTACTCCAGCATGTGTTTGGCAGATTTGTCAATGATGTGATAGCTGAATGTGTCTGGGGTTGTTTCCCATTGCCTATTTTGTTCCACTGATCCATATGTCTGTTTGTGTGCCAGTACAAACTGCTTTGCTCATTTTAGCTTTGTAATATAGATTGAAGTAAGGTATTGTGATGCTTCTTGTTTAGCTGTTACCTGGAATTGCTTTAGGTATTCCTGTTCTCTTCTGATTGCATATCTAGCATGGTTTCTCTAGTTCTATGAGCAATGCTTCATGGTATTTTGATTTAGAAGATCTGCATATTTGTTTTTGGAAAATTCACCATTTAGACATTATTGTTTCTGCCCATCATTGGTCACCAGATATATTTTCATTTTCTGGTAGCTATTTCAATCTTTGAGTACTGTAGTTTTCATATTAGAAGTTTTCACTTTGTTTAGACTAATTCCTAAATATTAATTTGTCTTCAAGTTATTGTAAATAGTATCGTTTTCCTAATATTTCTTGGTGAGTTCATGATTAGTGCACAAGAATGCTACTGATTTCTTAAAAATTTTACTGTGTTGTATTTTGGTTTTCTATTATGTACACTACCGAATTTGGTTAGTAATGTTGAGTCTTTTTGTGGATTTTTGCCTTCTATATAAAATCATATCATCTGCAGATAATTTTACTTTTTTTCTATATGTATACAGTAAAACCTTGGTTTGTGAGAATAATTCATTCTACTCATAATCCAAAGCACTTGTATTATCAAAGCAGTGAAAAAAACCCAGTAATGATGTAACATTTGGCATGACGTACTACTACTCATATTGCAAGACATCAGTTGGTTATCATAGTCAAAACTTCTTAGAAATGTTTGTCTTGTAGAACACTCACAGACCAAGTTACTCACAATCCAAGGTTTGACTATGCTTTTATCTTCCTTGATAGTTCAGGCTAACCATTTGTAGTGTATATTAAACAGGAGTTGTGACCATGGACATCCCTCTCTTACTAAGTTTTGAGGGAAAGCTTTTTTTCCATTGAATGTAATGCTGACAGTAGGTTTTATATAAGTGGCTTTTGCTAGATTTAGATAAGGTGATTTTATATGTACCTATTTTCTTTAGTTTTTATCATGAATGATTATTGGATTTCATCAAAGGCTTTTTCTGCTTCAACTCAGATGCTCATGTGGTGTTTTTTATTGTTAGTCTCCATTTAATTTCTGCTTTGATCTTAATAATTTTCTTCTTTGTACTAGTTTCAGATATGGATTGTGCTCATTTTTCCAGGACGTTTAGGTGCATAATTAGGTTATGTGGACTCACTCTTTCTTGGATGTGGACATTTATTGCCATAAGCTGCAATCCACCTGGTGTATTTATTCCAATAGAATTTTGCAACTGTAAGCTTAATTGTCTCTAAGATGCATAACAACATTAATCATATACAGCAGTTCTGAATTTCATATTTGTGACATGGTGATGGATACCTGCAAATGTGCCAATCACCATGGAAGAAAAACATCACTGAGGTTTGTGGGGTTGGTGAACACCTATGTTCTCTGTGCTTGACTTTGTCAGATAGAAGGAAAAATTTGGAGTAGGAGCAATGATGAAATGCAATTCTAACAATTATGTAATCATATAAGTAGTGAGTAAAATAAAACTACAGAAATAAACTAAACAGACTTTTATTGTACACTATTAAAAAACAAAGAGTATACTGAACCGCATCAGCAGGCTTTTCATTATTTAGTTTGAGATTAGGTCACACTAAGTTGCCCAGGCTAGCTTTAATCTTGCAATGCTGTTCCAGGTTTGCTACTTGAGTGGGTTTGATAACAGGTATGATCTACCAGTATCAGCAAGATTTTTTGATTCTAAGATGGTAGCAAATACATAAGCTCAGCATAAAATGTCTTATTTTACTGTTCTCTCTCTGGCTGGAATAGCAGTATGCACTATGCAAATTGACGATGACGGTAAGAAACAGACGTGAACTACAGTAAAAGCAGCCACATATTCAAGACTATAAAAATACAGTACTCTGCAAGGCAGTTTATTTTATGAATTACATGAGATGTTCTCTATATCTCATAAAAAAGACAAAATGTTTGATGATATCGCCTACCATATGGCTAATTGTATAAGCATAGTTAGGTCAGGATAAGGTATATTCACATTAGATACTTAATGCATTTGTCACTTATGTTTTCACCTTAGGATGGACTCATCAGAATGTAACCCCATGGGAAACTGAGCAGCCATTGTATTCACGGGGAAAACAATACAGAATATTTTACAAAATACTTCAGTGTTAGGCAGTAAAAAGGCAAAAACAAGGCAAAGATACTAGAGATGGACTCAGAGACTGCACAAATCTTTATATGGTTGAAGGTATATATATCACTTCCTTCAATCATGAAACCGATAGGGGTTCTTATTGTTGGTAACCAAAAAGATACTGTATAAATTTATCTTAGAGTTGTAAATCAGAACACAATCTTAATCACAAAAATTAGTCTATTATGTCTTTTACTAAGCTGATTTGAGATTCCCAGGTAAAAGATTAAGTTCTGATGACTGAATGGTACTCACAATATCAAGGAATAAAGATTTTTTTTCATTATGATGAATAGAAATTTCCCCAAATTTCAAGACTGCCAAAAATTCCTTTGAGAATATTCTGTCATACCACCATGTATAATTTGTGGAAAGATTAATTACTACAATTCATTATATCTTATTTGAGAAAAGATATGGCTCTGCTGCTCTGTGGCAGTTGGGGGACTCACAGCTGTATATTTTTGGTATGATGACCACCACAATAAATCATGGGAATACAAACAGCAAAATTTTTATGAAACCCTAAAATTTTATACCCATTATAATGGCTCTTGTATCAGAGAAAAAACAGGCAAAATTATGTACTGCATATAATCTGTAATTATATTGGGATATATACAGATATTTTCTCAGATTATGGAAAACATAGTATTTGCTAATCTACAAATTGTCTGAAAACAGTAAAACTATGTAAAACACATGTACAAATTTTTTTGAAAATATACACTATAATTACAAAATACTATCCAATTAAAAATACCTTCATTAGAAAAATGGCAAAATGGACTATATGCATCAAAAATTTAAATACATAGAAGCTATTGGTAAAATTTTAATGATCAGCAAATTTCAGTGTCTGGGCTATATTGTGCCACAGTTTCTACAAACAAACCTGAAAAGCAACATAACAAAGGAGACAAAAAATGATCTATAAAAACAGTAACCTATAGGCACATAAGAAATACATTCCCAAAAAAAAAAAAAAAATTCATTGGGGCTGGGGATTTAGCTCAGCGGCAAAGCGCCTGCCTGGCAAGCGCAAGGTCGTGAGTTCGGTTCCCGGTACCGGAGAAAAACTAAAAAAAAAAAAAAGAAGTACATTTCAATTCACTTGTGCATCTAACATGGTGCAAAATAAAGGCTGATTTATCAGTTAGTCTAATGAAAAGATAGCATGAAACTCCCACACTACTGCATGTGAGAACATAGTTACATTGACGCATTTATTATTAAAAGTAGACTTAGAAATATGTAATCCAGAGATATATTTCAAGGGTGAGTTAATTATGTTAATATTTTAAGATATTTCTAGTTGTGTACTTTCTGGAAAAATAATTCACATCCTGTTTTTATACAACTTACTTGTATAGCTTTGCAATACATGAGAAATGTTTAAAGGATTTTAAAATATAAACTATAATTGAGAATTTTGTATATTCACAGGGTTTTGACCCAATATGCATTTCACATGTAGAACAACTGAACAACTATATACCCCACTTATATTAATGGTTTATCACAATGTTGTGTTCATTTGCAATATCAGTAACCCCAAGATGGCTATGGAGGTGTTCCCAGAAAATATACCTTGATATGAGTTTCTTCACTATGCAATTCCATGTTTGCATGAAAATTCATGCAAAAATGAAGACTTCTCACATTCTGTATTTATACTGATGCTCCTTGTGAGTTTGTGCACATTTTCTGAGTATATGGAATCACAGAATCCTTCTTCACATTATCAACCTAGGGTTTTTCTATACTGTGAGTTCTTCCTGCACTTCAAGTTAAGTGGAAAAAATGGGTTTCCTACACTGATTATATACATATGGCTCCTTCTTTATGTCAATCCTTTTACATGCAATTTGGTTTTTTTGGTACCAGGAATCAAACCCAGGACCCTGCACTTGCCAGGCGGCACTGTGCCACTGAGCTATATCCCCAGCCCTCAGAAGCAACTTGAATGTGTTGAAAAAATCAAAAACCTTTCCTACATTGCTCACTTATGTTCAGATTCTATATGTAATAATATCTGTTTGTACTGAGAAACTTTATACTGGTTACAAAGAAAGGGTTTGCCTCTACTATGAGTCTTTTTGTGTCAGTGCAATCACTTTATATATTCAAGTCAACTTTTTTTTTTTTTACTTTTACAATATGCATGATGATTACTGGAGTAAATGAAGGCTTATATACATACAGTTCCTCACCAGTGTAATTTCTTTCATGTATTTGACAATACCCCTGTGTACTGAATGCACTGCCATATTGTTACATATACAACATTTCTACCCAATGTAAGGCCTTCATTTATTTGACAATTTCCATGTGTGTTGAAAGTTTTCCCACATTGGTTACTTACATAGGGATTCAACCTGTTGTGAATTCTTTCATGTTTTTGGTAAGTACAGCGTCTGCTGAAAGCTTTCCCACACTGCTTACATACATAAGGCTTTTCGCCGGTGTGAGTTCTTTCATGTATTTGACAATTACCATGTGTCCTGAAAGCTTTCCCACATTGCTTACATATATAGGGTTTCTCCCCAGTATGAGTTCTTTCATGTATTTGACAATTACCAAGTGTGCTGAAAGCTTTTCCACACTGTTTACATATATAAGGCTTCTCCCCAGTGTGAAGTTTTTCATGTTTTTGACAATTACCTTGTCTGCTGAAGGCTTTCCCACATTGCCTGCATACATAGGGCTTCTCTCCAGTGTGAGTTCTTTCATGCTTTTGACAATGGCTGTATGTTCTGAAAGCTTTCCCACATTCCTTACATACATAGGGTCTTTCCCCAGTGTGAGTTCTTTCATGTGTTTGACAATTGTCTTGCCTGCTGAAGGCTTTCCCACATTGCTTACAAACATAGGGCTTCTCCCCAGTGTGAGTTCTTTCATGTATCTGACAATTACTGTGTGTTCTGAAAGCTTTCCCACATTGATTACACACATAGGGTTTCTCCCCAGTGTGAGTTCTTTCATGTCTTTGACAATGACTGTGTGTGCTGAAAGCTTTCCCACACTGCTTACATACATAGGGTTTTTCTCCAGTGTGAGCTCTTTCATGTACCTGGATATCATGGAGAGAATTAAAAGCTTTTCCACATTGTATACATACATAGGTATTCACTTCACTGTGATTTCTTCCACAGATTTGAACATAGTTTGGTGCACTGAAGGCTTTTACATCTTGCTTATATACAAAGGGTTTCTGATCAGTGTTACTTCCTTCAGTGCCTTCAGAGTACGATCTTCCACACTGCTTATATTCATAGAGTTTATCGCCAGGATTTGTCTTGGTATCCTTCTGAAAGGACTGGAAGTCAGTGGAGGTTTTTCCATGTTTGTTACCGTTAGAGAGCTTCTCTTCAAATCCCTGATAGGATTCAAGTCCACTGTGAGCCATAATGGGCATACCAGACAATGAATGATTAACCAGGGGCTTTGTACAAGCAAGACTTTCACCTGGTTTGGTACCAACTGCTCTCATGTGCACATTAGTATCTGTAGTCCAAAAAACCATTTCTCCATGTTTTTGACATAATTTATATTGATGGCATTTCCCTTCCTCTTCACTTCTATAAAAGAATAAAGATAACAAAATAACCAATCACATTAATAAAAGTATCTTCTTATTAATGGTTTACCAGGAGGAGATCAAGTTTGACGCCTTCTGGAATATTTGATCATAAATTCACTGTATACTCTGGATGATGTTGTGAAAACAGCTTTTAACAAGAGAGTAGCAGTTCACTTGGGAGTTTATAATAGTCATGTTTGCCATACATAATACATTCATTTTGAAGAACTGGTACATCTATATACACCATGTTATTTTTGATACCCTTTCTTCCATGACTTTAACACCTCCCCCTTCCACTAAGGCTAGTCACCCTTCGCCAAAATTCCTGCTTCTCTCTTTTCTACCATCTCTTCTTTATCTTAGTCCTTAATTCCTATTTTGGGCTTCTCATATAAAATATAGCATGACAAATTGAAATTTCTGTGTTTGACTTATTTAACTTAATATTAAGGGCTCCAGATCCACTCATTTTTGCATAAAGTGACATCATGTCATTGTCCTTTATGGCTGAATACTATTCTATAAAGTATACATGCCACATTTTTTTCAGTGCTGGAGACTGAACTCAGGTTTTTCATACTAAGCTGCACTCGAAGTCTTATTTATTTTTTATTTTGAGACAGAGTGATCAATCATTAAATTTGTCAGGCTGAGCATGAATGTATAATTTTGTTGCCTCAACCTTCTTCAAATACCTGGCTATTTCATGTTTCCTTAATCTACTCATCTGTGAATGGGCATTTAAGCTGTTTTCAGCAGTTAGCTATTATAAGTTGTGCTGCTATAAACATGGGTATACATATATCGGTATAATATGATTACTTTAACTTTGGGGGTTATATACCTAGCAGAATTAATGGAATTTCTATTTTGTCTTTTTAAAGGAACTTTTACACACATTTATTCCCACCAACAATATAGAAATGTACATTATAATATTTTGGAATTTGAATGCATGAGTGCTTTGGAAGATTGCTTGAAAACACTTATCATCAAAACAGTGCTATTGTGGCACATGCCTGTAATCCCAGCACTTGGGAGGCTGACGCAGGAGGATCATTGTGAGTTCGAGACCAGCCTGGGCTACAAAGTAAACACAAGGCCAGTCTGAACTCCATAGTGAGACCCTGTCTCAAAAAGACTAAAAAAACCCAAAAAACAAACAAAAATAGTGCTATTCATTTGGATTTTGAATACTTCTATGAGGTTAGCAATTTTGGAAATACTGCATATGCATACCATATTTAAATACATATAGCATTCCTTACATAACATGTTTGATATGAAACTGGTCTTTAAAAATACTCATATGTGCATATATTTAAATATCCTGAACACAGCTTCCAGTCTAAACACAAATTTGTTTTATATACAGCAACAGTCAATGCCTAAACACAACACACAGTTTCATACAACATTTTTACGATCTTGAGCATGGAAAACAACTTGTTTTTCCTGATACATTAGATAATGTCACTTGCAGCATAATACCAGTACTTCCTAAGGTTTAGATACTGGAATATATTAAATATTTAAATGTCAGGTTATATATACTCAATATGTATACATCTTTTGAGAAATCTTTTGAGATTAAAGAAATATGAACATGGCTTTACTTGTAGAGTATGCTTGATTTTAATATTTCTACTCATATACTGAGTTTTAAGGAACATTATTCTTGTGAGTGCAAATTACCTTCCGTTTCTCCTGCAATTTTTATACTCATCTTCAATTTGTTGGTCATCCCAATTTCTTCCTAAAGTGTAGAAACAGAAATGTAATGATGAGTTACTACGTTACATAAAAATTAACATTCATTAGAGTCATAGTACAATGTGACTAAGCCTGGAAGATTCATGAAAATGTTTCCACATTCCAATAAAGGAAAGTGCACTGATACACAATAACTAGTGCTGTCTGATTACATAAATGAGAAAGTGATTTATTCCTTACCTATAGCAGCCACATTCCTAAAGTTTTCCCACATCACATCTCTGTAGAGCTTCTTTTGGGATAGATCCAGCAAAGCCCACTCCTCCATGGTGAAGTTCACAGCCACATCCTCAAAAGTCACTGTCTCCTAAATCATCAGACATATATTTTCAGAAGAAGAGTCAGATTCACAACATGAAACATCTCAACTCTACTTATAAAAAGCTGAAATGAGGCAGAGTCCTCCAAATGTTTACTTCATATCTTGGTGATTAACTACTTATTCTCCATCCATATGAACATGTCACACAGAAATTTTGATGGCACTTTGGAATTTATTGCTAAAGCAATAGTGGAATGAGAATACTATTCTGCTGGTTACCTGTTTTATTTGTATTTGTAAGTCTGTATAAAGGATCTGCAGCAGGAAAGACCAAAGGTCAGTGGTGGAAACTAGAAAGTCTGCACCAACAGGATGAAGGATCTGTGCCAGGAGGTTGAAGGATCTGCACTGGAACCAAGAGATGACATTCATAAGGATCAGAGTTCCTCCAAAAAGAACTGCAGCCATCCTCAGCAACAGTGAGAACCCGAGCTCTTCTGATGAGAACAACTGAATTCATATCAGGAAAGCCAGCACAACAAGCTTTTCCAGGAATACAGGCTTGAAACTTTGATGTGGTTGTAAGAGGAATAATTCTAGTGTTAAAAATATACACAATTCGGGCCAGGAGTGGTGGTGCACACCTGTAGTCCTAGCACTCGAGAGGCTCAGGTAGGAGGATGGTTGCAAGTTTGAGACCAGCCTGGACTACAAAGTGAGACCAAGGCCAGCCTGAACTTCATAGTGAGACCGTCTCAAAAAGACAAAAAAAAAAATCTCTCTATATATTTATCTATCTATATCTATGTTGATACCTATACCTATCTATCTATCTACACACACAGAATGCAAGCAAGTAATGAATACATAGAAGAGCTAGAGAAATGAAATGTTATCTCATCCAATCCCATGGTACATTTTGAGTGTTGCAGAGCAAAAGACCAATGAGGACAGAACTACAATAGACAGTGAAGAAGTGGCTGAAGGTGGAAAATGATAAGGCAGGGGTTGGGCTGGAGATATAGCTCAGTGGCATAACGCCTGCCTGCAAAGTGTGAGGTTATGAGTTCAATTCCTGGTACAAAAAAAAAAAAAAAAAAAAAGATAAGGCAGGGGTATTTCTTTTTGAGAGTATGAAATTTGTTGGTGCAGAACTTAGTGGAATGGGCTCACTAGCAGTCAGATATTGGAGGTAAGTGAGGAGGGAAGCCACTACTAAAACTTATATTCACTTTGGAGAAGAAATGGGGAGAAGGGAGAGGAAATGATTTAGGAAAGACATTACATGGGCCTATGACTATAAGATGGACTCTTGGCATCATACGATGGTGACACTACTCATTTCCTGTGATGACATCTTAATCTGTCTCTTCAACTTTCTTCCATCCCAAGTGATACTTGCCTGTGGTTTGGGGAAGTAAACACAAAAAGCTCAAGGGCCTGTTGACCTCAAAAAGTCACTCATGAAATGGGAACAATAACTGCTTCTGTCATTGACCTTTTAACATTTGTTATGCACAATCTTCTGATATTTGTATCTCATTTGTTTTATAACAGAGTTGCATTATTTTTCTAAAGTCTAAACAAAATAGCTAAATTTCTAATCCCTATAACTTCTCAGTGTGGATTACAAATTAGCACAGGAATCTTGAGGAAACATTAAGTCATAAACAATGCCTAACACTGCTCAACATACAGTACTTCTTTATGGAACTGACATGCTCAGAATGGCTAAGCTTTCCCAAATTTCATGTGTTAAGTCCTAATCCCCAACATGGTGGAGACACTGGGAATGAATACAGCCATGAGGTCAGAACCCTTAATATCTGAGATACATGCACATGTAAGAGACCAAAATCCTTCTGGCTATGTGAGGACAGAGCTAGACCATCCATACGACACTAGATATTTAAATTGTGTATTCCTTGATCTTAGATTTATTAGCCTTCAAAATTGTGAACTATAAATGGTTGAATTTTTAAACACATTTATAGCCATAGTTATTTTAAATTTCCCTAATTTGACAATTTTAAATTCATTTCATTGAGGTAAAATGGTCAAGTAAAATTGTACATATTGAAATTGTACAATTAAATGTGTAAATATATGTCTACATGGAGAAGTAATTGTCATAACCTATCTAGTTAGCATATCTATCAGCTAATAGTTATTTTTGAATATAGGGTGAAAACATTAAAAGCTACAGTTAGCAATTCCAAACCTATGTAGGGTAGTGTAACACTCACCACAGTTACCAAACTTCCAGAATCTGTGTATACATTGCACCTTTTCATTAACCTCACAGTTTTCAAACCCTCATACACGTCAACCACCATTAAACTTTCTGCTTCTGATTACTGGACTATTGTAGGTGCTTGATACAAATTTCGTCATTTTTATGCTTGGAGTATTTCATTTAATGATCTCCATGTTAATACATACTGTCATGAATGGGAAGAACCCAACAATCTCTCACATTCAAGAAACTCATCCAATTACAAAAGATTCACAGACTAAAAATTAAAGGACAGAAAAGAACATTTCATGCACCAAGACTCCAAAAACAAGCAGGGGTAGCAATTCTAATATCAGACAAGGTAAACTTCAAGATAAAACTGACTAGAAGAGACAAAGAAGGTCTCAACACAGCACTTAAAGGAACAATCCAACGAGAGTTAACATTGAACTCAAGTTTAACCTTCTTCACAGCTGAGTAGTACTCTACTGTAAAAAATACATCACTTTTATCCATCCCTTAGCGGATGGGGGAAGGGAAAAATGAAGTCAGTTATACTATTAGTATCTCTTAGTTCATTAAAAAGGAAGGTTTGTGCTAATACAAATTGGGGAAATTTTCATGCCCATATCTTATACTGTGAGCAACTACTTTAAAGATAAAAACATGCAATGTATTAACTACTGTTATTCTTTTATTTTGTTATGAAATTTTGTTTTACCTTTTTTCCATAAAAAAAATTCTGGCTCTTTGTTTGTTGTTTACTTCTTACTCAAATTCTGAAATATCTCAAAGCAGACTTACTGATTAAACAGTGTGACCTACAAGATCATTCTTCCTCAGAAACAAGGATCAGAAGATGAAAGAAAGCAAGCCTTCCCCATCAAGACCCACCTCCAGTTTTGTGTCTAGGGATGTAATAAATAGAAGCACATTAGCCTGTATGTTTCTGTCTTTTCTCCCATCTATCTGTCATCTCTCCTTCCCACTCTCCCAACATTTCTGTTTAGTTACTACCTTGCTTCCTTTTTTTCTTCCTTTTTTCTCTTATTCTTTCTTCCTTTTATTCTTTCTTCCTCGCTGCTTCCATTTCTTGCTCTCATGCCCTTGTCTTTCCTGCTTTTCTCCTTTTGTTCATTATTAGTTCCACAGTAAGTAGCACTTCAAATTCTTTGCCAGTTTCTCCACATCCCTCAAACTCTATGTACTGCTAATTTACTGTCCACTCTCTAGATTTTTATATTCTGGCCATTTTGTATAAGTAGATTATTCAATATTGTCTCTGTGTCTGTTTTCTTTACCATGACATTTTCAAGATTAATCCATATTGTAGCATTTATCACAAACTCATTTTTTATGGGTGACTAATATACTTTTTCATGAATAGCATACATTTAAATTCATTAATTGATGGACATTTGAATCTTTTCTTCCTCTTAGCTTTGATGAACACTAAGCATTCATGTATACAATTTTTACAGGCATACAGCCCTCCTGCTACAGCCTCCTCAGTGCTAGGATTACAAGCATGCACCGCCACACCTGGCTTTTTTTTTTTAAGCCTGGAGTCTAGTTTCTTCTCCACAAGAAAAAGGATAATGAGTTAAAGATGGCTAAAAGTGATAAAGCAAGTGTGCAGATTTGCATTATCTTTCTGTGCTTCCTCTTGCTTCTGTTCCTTCCAAAGGCAGGGATGGTGATTTGAGACAAATAGGCCCCTTTATGTCTCCAGAGCTAGTTTGGACTAGTTTACATTCTTTTTATCTTTTACCCAATACATGACCTCCTTTAATTTGGTCAGTGACCAGCAGATGAACCTGAGCATGAGCCTAAGTGGCTGGTAACAGTTTATTAACCAAGAAGGGATGTAACATCTGCTCCTAGGCATGCATCCTGACAGTGACCTGGTTAGCTGTACCCATGGTCAGAGTCCAGGGATATTCCAGCAGCTGCTGGGGACACTTCTGACACAGAATTCTACCTCATTTCCTGATCATGGCACAGCTGCCTATAAATGCTTTTTCTGGTAAAAGTGAAAAGGTTATTTTAGGAGATGATGAGTTCCATATGGTTTCCTCTTGGAAAATGCACGCTGGAGATCTACTGTCTCCACAGTTTAGACATTCTCATACATCATTTGGCAGAGCCATTTGGGTGGGGAAAGGACCTTCACTGTTTGGGTCCATTTTGGACTTAAGGCAGATCATTTTGGGCCAGTAAGTGGTCATCAGTGCCTTTTGGGGTAAGGAAAACACCTTCACCATTTGTGGTCATTTGGGGGCACTGAAAGGAGGTGACAGGTAGAAAAATGTTCCCAGCATGGAGTACTCATTTGTTTTGGTTGTTTTTTGTTTTTTGCATGTTTGTTTGTTTTTTTATTTTCTTTCTCTTTCTCTTCATATTAACCACTTTTACTCGATGATGGGAAGCAAGGTTTTAGTGCCATCTAGAATTATGTTAGCCTTTGAGATTTCAAGTCACTCTGAGGCTTCTTTGTGAGCCAATATATAGTTGAAGGTTCTTAAACCATTTGTTCACAACAAAAGTTTGGTTAGAGATGCTGGTGATGTGTTTGAGGAGCTCTGTTGTAAACTGCTCAAGAATAAAAATGCTTGTGTTACTCTGCAGATTCCTATAGAAGTTTTAGTTACCGGTGGCTTAGAAAAAGGTAATTTATTGTAATGCAACATGGCCTGTAAACCGAAAGCACATTCTGATATTATTGAACTATCCTTAAGAATTTTTTTAGAAATAACTTTGGCCAAGATAATAACCGTAACTGCTTCCTTTCCCTTTCCTGGATTCTGACAAGTACAAGCAAGAGCCTTCTGTACCCAATGACCATGAAGCTACTTGGCTAATGTTGGTGAGTTTGCTATAGACGTAGAGTCAGATAGAAGTCAACAGGGAGTCAGCCAGGGATTGGTCCCCTGAGAGTATCAGTGCAAAAGATGAAAACACATCAAAATGGTGGCTGGAAGCAAATCTGAAGAGTGTTAGTTCTCCAGGTGGAGACTGACACCTAAGTCTGTAAGCCTCCTTGCAGATAAACAGCAGCTTGAGATGACAGTCTAACTAGCACCACCTACCTATCTAGTGAGTCGAACTGGGCAACAGATGCATAGGTCGGTAACCAAAACATCTGGACCCAGTCTCCCATACCTTTGTGAGAACACTTTTTTCTTTCAATGTTAAAAATTGCAGATAAGTAACGTTAATGATGCTAGTCATATTCTCTTGTCATATGCCTTGCTTCCCTACTGGATCAATACAATATTAGCTAAGTGACTAAGAAGAAGAAATTAGTGTACCTTAAAGAGTGATCCTCTGTCTCCAAGGAGCACAGTAGTTT